GAGTTTGCCGCTTTCAGAGAGGGATATATTCTCTCTCATTATATCTTCGAAAACTCCGAGCCATGAAATTTTCTCAGCAAAGCGGATAGGCAGCGCCTATCCTGGTTGACGGTCAAACATCACGGATTGCAATGGGATGATGGAACGGTTCGGTACTTCACTGCTAAAGACTTGATTACAAGGGCGTTGTGGACGGTGACGGAGAATGAAACATTGCCCATCGTTTACGTAAAGGGGCTTGAAAAACGAGAATGGTTGCGGGATTTGTTACAGGACGACGCGAGAGAGGATGTCTACGCCGAAAGCATCGACGAGCACTACGAAGACGTGGAATCGTTGAATAAGATGGACGCTACACATACTTTACGTTGCCATAAACATGTATCGAATTGTGCTTTGTAAAATGTATTTAAACTGTTCAATTGGTGGCACTGTCATAAAAAATAAATGTATATTATCTATATTATATATCGATATTTTTCTTATTCCCTTCCCTGCTGAAACACTACCAGAAGATTCATGTCAACAACTAGGAAACAGTACAAAAATTAACGAATCACAAACCCTTAATTCTCAATCTCAAAATCTTTCAGTTGAGAATGAGACAAAATTTATCCGCAACGAAACTGATATATTATGTATATCCGCATTTATAATTCAAAAATACCCGGGAAAAAATGGAGATCTGACCATGTCTGATTTGATAAAATGAGATACAACGAGATCTGAAATTAAAGTAGAGTCAGATCTGATTGGATAAAATTTTATCTCGCCAGATCTGCATGGCCAGATTTGATCAGATCCAGCCAGACATGCTAAACTTTAGTCCGATTTCACAAGATCTGACCATTGCTGCTGTTCGATATTGAATCGCAGGTCCAGTCGGATCTCTTCCGATCTCATGAGATACGCATCAGATCTCACCAGGTTTGGTCAGACCCAACCAAACATATGTTGATCTCACCAAATCTGATCATTCTTAGTTTGCAGAGTTGGGTTGCTGATCGAATCAGATCTCTTCGGATCTAATCTGACATCAGATCTCCTAAAAAATTTGAGCAGACATTATGCGTCAGATCTTCCCGGATCTGAGCAGATCTTTCCGGATCTGAGCAGATCTCGACAACGTAAAACTTACAAAAATTTCGTTCTCATCATTACAGGTATTAATTTTTACATGCAATATTGGGCATTATATGAAATATAGATTACTCTGTGAAGGGGATGTTGTATGTATTTAATTAAATACATATATATTAAATAAAAATCGCATAAAATATATTTGTTCATATATTTATTAATATTTATCATAGACGAATATATTTATAGTTATATGTATACAACTATAACGATACCGATGATCGAGTGGTTTTTCGATGGTTTTTCGTCAAGTATTAGGGACGTGAGGCTTCCATTGCGCAGGCGCACAGAACGCGCGATTTTCTGCATCTCGTATGTACTCCCATGTACTCACAAGTCATATGCAGAGATGCAAACTTTGGGGCCGAGCGCCATCAAAGTGTTACACAATAATAAGTTACACTCAAGGTGTTACTTCATGATCCAATACCAGATGAAGATGATGCTGGTGTGGCAAAGAGAAATTATCTAGTAACCCATGTTTGATAATGTAACTTTTAACTGCGTATTTTTTTAAATCAGGAAACCTTGCCTTCAAGTCTTTAAGAAAAAGACAATTGAAATAAAACATTAATACTTATAACAAAACTGTATTTATTCTATCACGTCATTTTACTTATAATTAAAATATATCCTTAACATAACATAGTGTTTTTCAGTCTTTAAACATTAAATCACATTAAGTGCCTGAATTGACAACGTGTATAAGGAACTCTGCAACCCTTATAACATTATATGAGGTAGCACCAGTCCCCAAAACAAAACTACTACATCCTTTGTATGTTAATTCTCTATATCCTTACTATTAAATTATAAACTCTGCTATATGTTTAACTTTTTATATCTTTATAAAATTATAAGAGCTACTTGAATTAACAATATTCTTAAATTAAACCCTCTTAAATTAAAAATTAAAAACGTCCACCTAATTAAATGTATGAAGTTAATTTTAGAAATGAAAGTGTTTAAACTACTACACACACAGAGATTAATAGAAACGAAATCATTAATTAGGAACGAAACAGACTAGCTTAAGAATTGTATAAAATAAACGAAATCACATTTAATCTTTGGCTCCTTGGTCTCTCTGGCATTCTCTGGTATCAAGTGCTTCAATAATATGGAACTAAAAGAACCAAAGAAAAAAATTAGTGAGATTAGAAAGTAGTGTAAACAGTAAAAAAACATAGAGAAAGCAACATTACCACTTTACAACTTCTCTAGGAGTTTGTTCATTACGCTTTGATAAACCTCGAGGGCATAATCCTGCCGCTGCATACGCTCAGTGTGCCTTTTCTGTCGAGCTTCTTCCTTTTTCGTAGACTCTTCTGTTCTTGTGGCAAGTAGTCTTTTAATATTTCTTTCAGCAACACTTCTTTTTCTTCTTGAATTTAGGAGTAGATTCACAGCTATGATCACTGTTGCCTTCACTGCTGCTGCCTGCGAGTACAGAAGCTGTACTTGAAGAGCCCTGACTATCACGTTGCTTATGCCTCTTTAGTGTTGAAGCTATAGATACAGGCTTTAAAACTAGCTTGTCACCAAGAGCATCATCCATCTCTTTATAAAACTTGCACGTAGCAACTGGAAGGCCACTGCCTTTCTCATTTTGGTCCCTAGCTTTCACATAGTATTTCCTAAGGTCCTTGAATTTATCTTCACATTGCTGCCCAGTATATCCCAGAGAGGATTCTCTTTTTTTAACTTGTTGGTTATCAACTAGAATATTCTTAAGATTGCCAGTAGTAATTAACAATATTGGTGATTTTGTTGACCGTATCTGGCGATTAAAATTCTTATTGCGAAAAAATATTACCCCAGCCGGGATTCGAACCCGGGACCTCCCTACAATCCATGACGGGCGTCTTAGCCAGCTCGACCACCGGGGCTGTGGTAATATTATTCGCAATAACATGTATATTACTTAAGGGGTAAAACCACTCTAGGATTTTCAAAAAATCGAAAAATTTTTTTTGCTTAAACGATACTTTAGGGTCATAAAAACAATATGCCATTCTTGGATAACAATTTATAAAATTTTAAATGGTTTAATTATCGATTTTGCCGCAGCGCCTCAGAGCGCGCGGCACTCACGCGGCGCGCTGTGATTCATCGCTTTTGTACTTTTCCCGTTCATTTCTCTA